AGATTTCTCAWATTTAAACTGGAATAAACCCTGCATATTTTAAAATCAGGAAATCCACCTGAATATCCAAAAATAACTACTTTGGAATGGTTATTTCCAAACTGCAATTTCAATTCCATTTCTTKGCAAGCTCTTCTGGACACATGARCACCTACTAGTTGTTTAGACTAGGMATAGGAATAATTATTTTACTATCTAATGCTATAGAGAGTTTATTGCCAGGTTTCTACTGAGTATGAGAGTACTTCTGAAGATGCAAAATCTGCAGCTAGGGCAAAATAAAGGAATGCAAAAGTGGTTGAAATATTTAATCTAGTRATCTTGCTGGATTTATATGAATTAAATAAAGTATATTGTTTTCTTTTGTTGGTTAATTCAGTTCCCTTTTTAGCACTGTGATGCTCCAGTTTTCTTTTGTGTGTGTACAGATAGTTTAACTGACAGCTCACAAAGACACCAAAACAAGAACCAAGAAGTTCAAAGAGAGAAAAGTCAGTTACAGTAGAACAGCTATGATAACATTAGCAAGAAAACCTTGTGACCCAGTAGTATCTTAGGCATATATTGTAMAAAACAATGCTCAAAAATGTCCAGAAGTTGGGGTGTTTTGTTTTTGTTTTTTTTTATGTCAGAGAAGTCACTATTTGTACAGCCTTTAGCAGATGGCACTATTTATTTACTTAGGCGTAATGTCATAGTAAGATTAGTTTCCAAGCCTTTCAAGTGTGTGAAACCCACATTCCATCGTAAATACCAATCCTTGACCCTTGCTTGGTAAGATGTTAAAGAAYGTTGGGCTGATACAACCTTTTACTGTCCTTTTAGAACCAATGCACCGAAAACTCCAGCACAAAGTATAAAATTTGACAAATTTGCCTCACAAAAATCACTGTGATCMGGGGTTTCTTTTGAAGGCTACAGCTGCCAACAAAAGAAAGACGACTGTTCCTTTGTTTCAGGGGAGAGAGTCTCTACSCCCTGTACTACAGATCTTATTCCTTATTACAGATGCACAGAGCCTTCAAAGTAAACTTCAGACAGTGAAATTTTATAGAGTTTAATAGTTATCTTCTCATGATAATTATTCTATTTATCTCACATTATAGTTAATTAGCAGATATATGAAAGTCAGCTGTGCTTCATGCTTGGCCTACTCAACTCTGAAGAAGTTCAAAGAGAGGGAGAATTCACAGTGAAAACAGCTCCAGTGAATAATGTTGATGGACTTCTTTAAAAGTTTGATAAATATGTGTGAAATGCAATACCCAGGTGTTAATAACCTGGTCAAACCTCAAGATTTTCCCAAAGGAGAACTGAAGTTAGGTAACTGCTCTGCTGCTTTCTGCTACTTGAAATAGGCAGGTTTTTTTTGAGAACTGATTCTCCAAAGCACTGACATGTCCCCAAATTACTTTTCTCGATCTGACTCCTGAAATCAGCACTACTATGACAGGATGTTCAAAACTATTCAGATATTGGCAGAAGTCTGTGTGAGATACCCTCCACCAGCCTTCCACGGAAAATGGCAGTCCCAAGAACTGTCATGGGCAACTCATGAATGATGGAAACATCACAGCAAAATGGAAAGTGCTCAGCAACCCAAACTATGGGTGTGACAACAGGTTTTGCCTGTGGTAAGGTCTGCTGCCACAGTAATAAAGTGCAGCCAACTGCACCTAAAACACTGAAAAACAAACAACAACAACGCCAAAAACTAAACAACTACAAAAAAATTAACCCCCAAATGTATTTTCAAGAACCTTTGTTAACAGAGTTTATGGCAGCAGAGTCATAAGCTGAAGCAGAGGGAATGTCTGTCRGAAGCAGTGGTATGTCACAGGGTTCCTCCACCATTCAAAAGTACTGGAGGAACAGACTTACAACATGCAGAGCTTATTAGAATGACAATTAAGGAAACATATTAAAGTACAAATAAAAGCAATAGCCATGTGCTTTAGAGGCTACTGTGGGAAGGTGAAAGAAGAAATAATAATAAAAAAATAAATCTACTATCTCAAGAAATTTATCTTGATGTTGARATACTAGTTCGTGAAAGAATCTTCTCAACAGAGGGACTGAAGTTGTATTGTCCAAAATAAATAAAAATAAAATAAAAAATAAAATTTTCAGCAGTAAACCTAAACAAAGAGATTAGATAAGATTAGGCACTCATTTGTATAAATGAKCACTCTGCCATTTATACAAAAAGACAGAGAAGGTGGGCTAGCACATGTTCAGCCTTTTGGCACTTTTAAGGCTGCTATTCATACACAAGCATGCCCTATTCCTCAATAATTATGAGAAGCGGACACTGAAGTGTACCCATCCTTGATCTGGGGAAGAAACCCTAGTTATCATTGATGGAATTTCAGAATAGAGCTTTGGCACAGTTATACAGCCCTAAGTATGATAAATATGAATAAATAAAATTAAAACAATTTTTAAAAAAACAAACCCACAATGCTCCAAGGTATTACCTTAGGTAAGGTTTACGCATTTCTCTGTTTACCAGTGCTATAGTATAGAAGTAATAGTTAGCAACATAACAGAAGACTGTGAGTAT